AAGAGAGAGAGAGAGAGAGAGAGAGAGAGAGAGAGAGAGAGAGAGAGAGAGAGAGAGAGACGTCGAATTCATGTCCACCTCGCTTTAGTATGTGATAGTATTTATGTATTTATGAATATCAGATGCTCATCAAAATAATCGAAGAAATCGAAGAAACCGGCTTCCTTTCTTCTCGTTCGGCATTTTATATCGAAATTTTTATTTTTGGCTCAACACTTTTTATATTTACAAGCGCACGATTATTCTCACAAGACATTTACTTTAAAAAAGGATAATCAAAGGCAAAAAGAAACGTAAATATTCACTGTTTCCAAGGACACTCAAGCTTTGGAAATCACTAAACTTTGTAGGATATTTTCTTGCTAATTTTACCTCGGACATCAGGCGACCGCCACCTCGTTCAATTTCAACCATCTCAACATCTGTTCACGATAGATGGGTATTTTTCAGATCAAAATCGAGGCAAATAAACTGTCTGTGAGGTGATAATAATAATTGATGATCGCATAATGCCACCGCGTCGTGACTTATCTATTACTATTATATAGATCCCGTGAGGTCTTGAAGAATCAGGTCATGGGGTATATTAAATAAGGTTTTCACAATAGCCCCAGCAGATGCCGGTGGCCAATTTGAACCTTCTTGGTACCATGCCAAATTGTTAACCCTGGAGCAACGTTTATTCGCAAACATTGGCGAGTCATTACTGGCGTCTGTGGTGTAGCGGTTAGTTGTTTTCGCCCTCGCACAGAAGACCTGGTTTGATTCCCGTGTGGGGAGAATTTTTATTCAGTATCACAGTCTTTCTATTTGTATCCCTTTCAGCAGTGAGTGGTAGGCCTGACAAGCAGTTTTAAAGCTCGCCATGTGAATGTTCTGGTCTAATTGTGTGGGTGGGGACCGAGAAGACCTCTATATTTTATATTGTAATCAGAGTCAGTATTTGCCCCAGAAATCGTTTTACCGAAAATATGAACATCTTTTTTTTTTCTTTTTAAATTGTTGATTTTTTTTACGCCGCTATAGATCACCATATATGTCAAATGATATAAAAGGGTGTCTGTGATGTGGCGCTTAGGTGCTTCGTCGTTGCACTCTGGAGACGTGAGTTCACTTCCTGCATCGAGTATCTTTATCTTTCTACTGGTATATATTGTATTCCTATTAGGCTGGGTTGGCCCAGACTCACAGGGTCGAAGCATCCGGCCTCCTAACTGATCTAACTAGTGTCGATGCGGTCGCAAAACTTCTACAATTACACGTAAAGAGGAATTAGACGCACATTGCGTTTGCACCTTGAAAGTTCCTGATATCAGACACATGAATCTATACATCTATTGTCTTCTTTCTTTCAGATCCGATCCCTTTTACTGCTTGAAAGTGCCTGATTTCAAAACATATACATATTATATTGGATTGTCTCTTTTCTGTCAGATTCTATCACTTTTACTCCTTGAACGTTGCTGATATCAAATACATATACACATTGTCTCCTTCCTTTTACTTCTTGAATGTTCCTGACGTCAAATACAAAAACCTTTCTTGTCTCCTTTCTCGCAGATCCCCAAAGACCGATCTGTACGATTACGAGTCATGCCGGAACAGTCCAACGACTACCGGGTGGTGGTGTTTGGAGCCGGAGGTGTGGGCAAGAGCTCGCTCGTCCTCCGCTTCGTGAAGGGCACATTCAGAGAGAACTATATCCCGACCATCGAGGATACATACAGACAGGTTAGTCATATGTTCGTCATTGCTAATTTTAAAGATATCTTCAAAGGGTGGAATTCTTTTCTACCATTGACTTAAATTGTGTCGATAGTACCTTAAAACGTATAACAAACCAATCAATCCACCAATCAATCTATCAATCAATCAATCTATCAATCAATCAATCAATCAATCAATCAATCAATCAATCCATCAACCAACCAACCAATGAATCTCGAGTGCGTGCTGAAAAGAGCTGTTTTATTGTTTTTCTCTAATACATGTATTGTGGCACCACTTGGGAAAACGATATCATAGATAAGTCGCTTCAACAACTGATCTTCATCCTCATCCTCCTCTTCTTCTTCCTCCTTCTTCTCCTCTTCTTCATCATCATCACCATCATAATCATTATCATGGTTGTTGTCATCATCATCATCATCATCATCATCATCATCATCATCATCATCATCATCATCATCATCATCATCATCATCATCATCTCCTTCTTCTTTGCACACCTCTCTTCAGGAGCAACAATTACAGCAGCATCTGCAGCGACTTTGAAGTGGTTTTCCACCGTAGCAATATTATTATCTATCAACCTTAGGTCATATTCTAAAAACTAACATCCGGTGCATCGCTACCTCCGAATTACAAAACTCTATCTGCTTTTGAGAAACAAGAAGATACAGACCGGCTCTACGAAAGGTGATACAGTGATAGGAAACCCTAAGATAAAATGTATACGCTCGGAGAAGCACAAACCGAAACGGAAGTAGACCCCAGTAAAATATGAAATGGCTAATGGAGTGAAAACATCTGAAAGCTTGGATTTACAGGAAAAACCTTCAAACCAGAAAAATCAAAAGGTAGTTTCCGAACTTTTAAAATATGCCCACGTAACCCTTTGTGACAATTCTTAACGAAATCATATTTTTGTAGATTTTATGGGCACCTGTGCAAAAAAAAAATGTATACTGACCTCACAAACGGGCTTAGCTCTATTATAATAAAATTTGACGTCAAGGATTTTGAGTTTCACATCATGTCAAGCTTTTTTTAATGCAATTCTTTGAATATCTTGATTTCAACTGCGAATACAATTGTGAGGCACCGTGGTGGAATCAGGCTGTCGTCAAAATAATCAAAGTGAAGAAACTTGCATTTTCCCGCAGGTTTGTGAATTTTCATCATATTTTTGTTTTTGGGCTCAACACCTTTCATGCCCATTAAAAAACTCATTTCTGTGTGGATTTTTCTGAAAAATGTTGATTAAAGGCACAAAAAAATGTAAATTTTCAGTTACCACGGACTCTAAAGCTAAGGAAATAACTAATCTTTGACTGTTATTTTCTCACTAATCTTACCTCTGAAAACATGTGAACTGCACCTTCTTCATGCGCAAATATATCGACTTCTATGCAAGATAAATGGATATTTTTTCATCCAAATAAAGACAATTGAACAAGCTTTAAAATGATACCAATAACTCTACATGCCTAAAAATTGACGAGAGCCTGATTCCACCATGCTGTCTCACATTTTTGATAGAGCAGATAGAGCATTTGGTTTCTGACCCCATAGTTTTAGTAACTCAAATCAGCCAAAATTGTCAGACAGAACTTTTTAATTCTGAAGTAGCGACATATACAGAAAGGACAAGAGGACCAAACAATTCTTCTTCTTCTATCCCGTGGTTGGGGCAACCGTTGGGCCACCACTGCATTGGAAAACCAGCTCTCGCCATCAATTTTTGTCCTCTGCTCTCCTCAGATTGTCACCCATCGTCTTTCCTGTCCACTCTGTAATGTTGTCCTCCTATCTCCTTCTCTGCCTTCCTCTCTTTCTCTTTCCTTTTACGGTTCCTTGCAGGATTGTTTTGGCAAGTCCTGTGGATCTTGTGACATGCCTATAACATTTTAGTTTTCGTCTCTTCACTGTGGTCAGTAGATCTTTATATTGCCCCACTGCGTTGGTGATTCTCTTTCGTACTTCAGCATTTGAAACGTGGTCTTTGTACGAGATGTCAAGGAGTCTGCGGTAACATCTCATCTCTGTGGTCTGAATCTTTTTCTCTAATTCTGCTGTTAGTTTCCATGATTCACAGGCGTACAAAAATATTGAGATGACCAGTGAGCGCATTAGTCTAATTTTTTAGCTGTGAAAAAAGAAAAGAAAAAAAAAAAGAAAAAGAAAAGGAAAGCTAAAAGCTCGAGAGATACCGTTGTGAAGTCGCAAACAACCAACTTTTCTTTTCTCCTACAGGTGATCAGCTGCAACAAACAAGTGTGTACTCTCCAGATCACAGACACCACAGGGAGCCACCAGTTTCCTGCCATGCAGCGCTTGTCCATCTCCAAGGGGCACGCCTTTATTCTCGTATACTCCATCTCCAGTCGGCAGTCGCTGGAAGAACTCAAACCTATCAGAGACGAGATTGTCGAAATGAAAGGAGATATTGAGGGAATTCCCGTTATGCTCGTTGGGAATAAATGTGATGAAGTGAACCGTGAGTGCACCGTGCAAGAAGGTGCGGAACTCGCAAAGCGGTGGAACTGTGCTTTTTTAGAAACTTCTGCGAAAACAAACCACAATGTGAAAGAGCTTTTCCAGGAACTTCTGCAGTTGGAAAAACGGCGAGCTGTGAGTCTGCAGTTGGAAACAAACAAGTCCAAATCACAGAAACGACGTGATAAGTTAAAGGGCAAGTGCGCGCTCATGTAATTATTTCTAGCCTTGTTGTTTGTTTGTTTGTTTTTCTACGCTGATTGTGTTTTGTTTTTCCTTTAATCAATTTTTTTTCATAATACTGTTTGTTTTATTATATTTTCAATCAAGCATTTCATCCTAATATTATTCCTTTCGTTTGCTTGTAGACATATCTTAATAGAAATGGTCTGATATTGCAGCATTGCGTGCTGGTGTCTCTCGATTACTTTTTTTTCTTTTGTAAATATTACCGAAATGAACAACAACAACAACAAACAATTTGTCCGTGACTTGACATTCTACAATGGCACTTGAAGAGATGCAGTCTCTGCCTATTGACTCTTTGTATGTTCTTATTTATGATGAAGACGGTGTGAATTTCTACAGAACATAATATTATTATTACGAGCGCTCATGACAAACTTGGCATTGGTAGCCTAGTGGTTAGAGGGTTCAAGCTTCAGCTCAGTCCCGACGTTGTGTCCTTAGGAAAGACACTTTACATGAGTTTCCCATTTGGCTCGGTCCTTTCGGAGATAGACGTTAAACTCCTGCCTCTTGAATAATCTAACAGTGTTGATAGGGGTGTTAAACCTATACAATTGCACCATATGTTTCCATGACTAACTTTTTCTACTCAGAAATCGATGTACAGAAAAGTGGGAAGACATGGAATAACACCAAGAGGCTAGCCCAGGATAGAGAAAAGTGGAGGGTGTTTGTCCGTGGCCTATACCCTGGTGCAGGGTGAGAAAGGCACTGATGATAATGACTAACTTTTTCTACTAGTCTGTTCAGTGAAAGAAGTGTTACGCCTAAACAATACGCGCAGTCAATCATTCAACGTTTTACTGAGATTTCGGCCAAGATGTGTCTGCTCAAACTTTCAATTGACTGAAAACATTTTACGTCTTCATCTACACAATTTAGATCAATTAGGGGGCCGGTTGCTCCAACCTTTCTTGTCGGGGCCGGCCTGGGCCCAGTGGGATTCCGCATCAAAGCAGAAATACGAAGATACCCGATTAAATAAACTTCCGTTCCAGGGAATCGAATTCTTGTTTTCTGCGAGCACCAGCAAAAGGGTCTAACAACAACAACACCCCAAAAGCTGACAATTCATGTATTTAAAAAAAAATTTTTTGCTGCACTATTAATTAAGGATTTCTGAAAAAATTTTCCTTCCATTTATAATTCTAATTCTGTTGAAGTTTAAAGTACAGAAACGGTATAAGATATCAAAAGAAAAATAATAACAACAATTCCACCAACAACAACACAACAACAACAACAACAACAACAACAACAACAACAACGACACCAGCAGCAGAAGCAGCAGCAGCAGCAGCAACAACAACAACCCCGACAACCATAAATAACAACAGCAACAAAAGCTACTACTTCTTCAGCAGCGGTAACAACTTTAAAAACAACTCAACAACAACATCCAACAGAAAAAAATGTTGACTCTTTTTGCTGGTGTTAGAATCAAGACTGACTTGTCTGCGAAACAAATCTTGAAACACGCAGATGGTATAATTAATTTTTTTTCAACCCGCGTATAGTCAACATCGATGCCACTTTATGAAAAACCTATCTACTTGTTGTTTTTAACCCGAGGAGTAAAATCAATGCTTCACTGAGTTTTTATTTACAATATTATGTTTTCATTTTGAGTGGCCTACTCCTTTGGGCCACCCATGAAAGCAAAACTTTTTTGGGTTTTTTTCGCTTTATGTTTATGTTTTAAAAAATTGAAACTGTGAAACAAAGTTAAATGATCTCTCACCTGAAATGTTGACTTGAACGTTTCAGTAGCGACAGTTTTCAGATATCTTGTGATATATGTGTTCAGCAATATTTAATTTCAGGGTGTGGAACCACACACAATCGGCTGTGGGCTTATTTAGTATGTTAGCAGCTTATCATTCATTTATGTATTTGAATAAAGTTAGTGAATGTATCGGACTTAGTAGATGGATTGCTGCATGTTTGATTTTGTGTATGCAATGATGGTGAAAGGAGGCGTGGAAGAAAAAGGAGGAAAATAAATTGTTGATGTGTGTGTTTGTAGAGTTATGGAAGTACGTTTCTATGTGTGCTTGTGTATGTGTGTGTGTGTGTGTGTGTGTGTGTGTGTGTGTGTGTGTGTGTGTGTGTACATGTGTGTTCGTGAATTTTTGTTTGCATCATGTGTGTGTGTGCACATGCGCGCATGCACGTGAAATACAATGAGAGAGAGAGAGAGAGAGAGAGAGAGAGAGAGAGAGAGAGAGAGAGAGAGAGAGAGAGAGAGACAGAGACAGAGACAGAGACAGAGACAGAGACAGAGACAGAGAGAGAGAGAACGAGTGTGTATGTGTGTGTATGTGTGTGTGTGTGTGTGTGTGTGTGTGTATGTGTGTGTGCGTGTGTGTGTGCGTGCATATGTGTGAGTGTGTCTTTAAATATCGCTGTTAAAAACTCTCTGAAGACGCACAGTCCCCAAATGATTTTTGCTCCGGATTTGCCCAGACTCCATCCATCTCTCTCCTGTCTAGCCACACGAACATCCTTTATTTGATTTCTAATATTCCATTACTGCTTCTTTATTGAACTATGAAGCAGAACCATATTTTGTCCTTGGAACGTCGTGATTAATGCATAGGAGGCGAACAAAAATAGGTTCAAAAGTGGATGTTTTTTTTCACACTTTCAACTTTGACCTTTACGAGAGTGCAGAAAGACCAAAACGTGAATAGGAAGCTTCACATCATACACTCTTATTTTTTCTCTCCTTCTATTGTCTCCTTGGCCTTTCTTAGGGCACGCCTCATCACTAATGGTTTTTACAGACTTTTTCTGTAGAATTTCAAATTCTAATCCCCAAAGCGGATCTACTGCTTTTAGTAGGGGGCAAGGAGGTTATAATAGTATTATAAGCTCTTTGGTTAGGGGGGGGGGGGGGGGGGGGGCGAAATTTCACGCTTTGTTCATGAAGGTGTTCCTCATTTACATGTTTAGCATAACTAGAAATCAATATTATGTATGGGCTTTTGTATTTCATAAATGTGCGATTGAAGTGTGTCTGTGTCAATGTGT